GTTTTCATTTTCATTGATTCTAGTCAATTATTTTTTTCTTCTGCTTAGTTTTAGATTTAATTTGCTCTTTTATAGTTAGTTCCTAAGGTATAAGCTTAGATGATTGATTTTTAGACTTTTTTTTTAAGAGACAGGTCTCAATAAGTTGCTTAAGGCAGGTCTTGAATTTGCAATCCTCTTGCCTCAGCCTCCTGAGTCGCTGAGATTACAGGCATGTGCCATCATGTCCAGCTAGATCTTTTTTCCTTTTCTGATAATATACATTATAAATTTCCTTAAATTGTGCTTTCATTTAATCCAAAATATTTTATTAATTTCTCTTGAGATTTCTCCTTTGACCTATGTATTATTTACATATGTATTGCTTAATATTGATGAATACTGATTTCTAGTTCATAGTCTGAGAAGCAGCTTTGTCTGATTTCTGTTCCTTTAGATTTGTTAAGAGATTTTTTATGGCTTAGAATATTGGAGAATGTTCCCCATGAGAGTGCAGAATGTCTGTTCTCCTGCTGTTGGGTGGAGTAGTTTATTTGTGTCCATTATATCAAACTGCCTGAGGGTGATTGTTTAAGGGTGTTATTTCTGGTTTTCTGCCTTGTGGATCTGTTTCTCACTGAGGAGGAGATTAAAAGGCTCCAGTCACAGTAGTGGATCCATCCTTTTCCTTGCAGCGTTAGCAGTTTCTGTCTCTCATATTTTGCTCTGTTTTTAGGTGCATACATGTTAAGGACTATTACCATATCTTGAAGAACTGACCCTTTTATCATTATTTAATGCTACCCTTTATCCTGATGACATCCCTTACTTTGAAGTCTACTCCACCTGAAATTAATATAGTGACTTCCACTCTGTCTTGATGAGTGTTAGCATGGTCCATCTTTCTCCAGCTCTTTTCCCCAATCCATTTTATTTATTTGGTACATGTAGATAACTAGTGTTATGTCAGTAGCTAACATCTACTGTGTCTATTACAGCTTGTTGTCCTTGTTCTTATTCCCATTTTTGTCTTCCACTCCTTTTCTTCCTTTTTTGGTTTTAGTTGAGTATTTGGTGATTCCATCATCTCTCCTTTCTTAGTGTATCAGGTTTATTCCTGTTACATTTTTAGTGGTTGTCTTCCTATAACACTATAATGCTCTACAGGTAGTGTAGATGGCTTATAATAAAATAACCATAATTCCTTATGTCCTTTGCATTTTTCAGGTATATAAGCTTATATAAATAGATAAATAAGTATACATAATTGAATACACTGTTGTTTTGAACAAATTTTTATGTTAGATCAATTACAAATAAGAAAAATAAGGGCTAGGGACGTGGCTCAAGCAGTAGTGTGCTTGTCTGGCATGCGCAGGGCGCTGGGTTCGATCCTCAACACCACATAAAAAATAAATAAAATAAACATATTGTGTCCACCTAAAACTAAAAAGTAAATATTTAAAAACAGAAAAATATAAGTTCCTACATTGCCTTGTTCCTTCTCCAGTATTCTTCCTTGCTTTATGTGAATCTGAGTTTTTTTACCTAGATCATTTATCCTAAGAACTTCTTTTAATATTTCTTGCAAAGCAGGACTACTAGAAACATTTTCTCAGTTTCTGTTTTCTAAGCTAGTCTTTCTTGATTTATTTCACAGGATACAGAATTCTAGGTAGTTTTTTTTCTCTCTCAATACTTTAAACATTTCAGCCCATTCATTTCTTGTTTCCTTCAGTGGCTTCTGAAAGTCAGGTGTAATCCCCCCACCCCATCTTTCTTTTCTATGGGTAAGGTTTGTTTTCCACATCTGGCTTCTAAAGGAACAGAGTTTATCTTTGATCTTGTAGAGTTTGAAAATGATACATGTCTAGTTTTTCTGGCATTTATGTTGTTTGATGTTCCCTGAGTTTCCTGGATCTGTGCTGTAATGTCTGAGGGTGAATTGGGGAATTCTCCTTCATAATGGTTCCAAGTACCTTCTGTTGACTTCTTCTCCTCCTGGTGTCCCATTGTGCACAAGTTATAACTTCTGGAGCCATCCCTCTGTTCTTGGGTATTCTGTTTGGGGTTTTTTGTTTGGTTGGGTTCCCCTGCCAGTCTTTTTTCCCCTCTTTGCTTTGAAATTTTAGGTTTYCACTGAAATATCCTTCAACTCCAAGATTCCTTCCTTGAACATGTCTAGCCCACTAATAAGCCCATCAGGGAGGTCTTCATTTCCGCCACAGTGGTTTTGTCCTCACATGTTTTGGGTTCTTCCTTAGACTTCCATCATTCTGGTTGCCTTCCTTCTTGCCTAGCCATTGGCATGTTAAGTACAGCTGTTTTAAAGTCCCAGTCTGCTTATTCTGACACCCCTTTTCCCTCTGAGTCCCTGGTTTGGGGGTTTGTTCTTTGTCTTCAAACTGTTCATTGCCTTTTAGAATCTTGTCATTTTTTGTGGAAAGGTAGGCTTGTTTTTTGGAAAAAAGGAACTGTTGTAAATGAGCCTGGAGTAAAGTGGGGGGTGGGGGGAGCTTCTAGAGTCCTATGACTAGGCCTCAGCCTCTGAGTCTGAACCTCGAGCTGTGAACTTCGCAGGCTTTCTCATCATAACACCACCCTAGGTAGGACAGGACGACTAGAGGGGGCAGAGTAGGCGTTTCCTTCCCCATGGGTCACTTGCACTCTACTGTGATCCCCGCAGGTTAGGCTCTAGTTAGTTCTTCTGAGGGCTGTGTGCTCTGGCGTGTTCAAGATGGTTCCTTATGCCTGCTCTGCCAGAAGCACAGGGAGTTTTTCTCTGATATTTGCCATGAGGAGGTAGCTAAACTCCAGGAGGTAAAACTCATAAAGGTGTTTTCCCTCGCCACCAGCAGGGCTTGATCCCCTTGCAGGTTCCCCTAAGATTGGACTATCCTGGCCTCCAGCCATTTGCCAATCACCATTCAGGCTTTCCTGCTGTGTTGTAGTCAGCTGTGGTTCTCTGTACTCCTGGCTGGCTGGCTGGCCATCTTGATGACTGTAGTTTGCCCAGTGACCTTACCCTTCTCTCAGATCGAGGAGGAGTTGGGACTTTAATTTGTTTAGGTTTTTCCTTGTTAGGAGGAAACTTGGACTGGGACTTCCAAGTTTCTTACATGCCATACTGGAAACCAGAACTGTAATTTTTAGTTTAAAACTAGAGAAAAAATATATAAAACCAGAGTATATTTATAACGCAGATTCTGATTTTATAGACAGAAGAAAGGGAAAGTTGGTATACCAGAAAACTTCATATTAAGTAAAAAAGAAGTCGTCTTCTCCAAAAATGTTAGAACAAAGGTGCTTCTAAGCCGCACGGAGCATGGACAGCTCCCATCCATCTCCCATCCATCGTCAGGGACCGGGTGCTGCCTGCACTGGAACAGGGTGAGGCGCAGTCTACCTGGAACCCTCCTTGGCATTTTCCTCTCTTACTCATTTGAGATGAGAAAATTCAACCCGAAACGCCAGGCTGCGGGAGATGGGCTTCTTTGCCTTGTGGTGGAGGGTGAAGGTCAGGTCCAGTAAGAGCCGAGCTGGCTGTCGGGGTGCAGTTTGTGTTGGCTCCACACTGCCTCTCGAGGAGTGGGGTGCTTTCAGTCAAGGCAGCAGTGCTGCTGCCGTCGCTGCAGTCCTGCTCTATCAGGTGTGCCTCTGTAGAGGTCAGTTTCTTCCTGCTTCATTTTGTGATTGAAAAAGGAATTGCAGGTTAAAGAATGTTGCTCTTCAGGGCTGGAGTTGGCCTGCCTAGTACATGTGAGGCCCTCGGTTTGATTCTCAGCACCGCATATAAATAAGTAAATAAAGATCCATCAACAACTAAAAAGAATATTAAAAAAAAAATAGAACGTTGCTCTTTAAGGTTGCACAACTCATTAATAAAAAGGCTGGAAATTTCTTCTTGCTCTCAGTTTCAAAGATAGTGGTTTGGTATGGTGTCTCTCTAGGAGAATGTTTTAAATAGCAGGGCAGTTATGGCAATGTGCTACACTTGCACCCGAGGGGCCCACGCTACTGACCCCCGACATCCAGTGGGATGTGTACCTGAAGGTGTCTCCTCGCAGAGCAGATGGGTCTGCAGCGAGCTCTCCACTTTCCCTTTACTCACTCCCACCACGGCTGGGCTGTCAAGACACTGGCAGGCTTCTTGCTGCAGGACTAGGCTATCTGGATATGTGACCAGTTTGGACAGGGGCATTCAACCCAGAGTCACATCCCCAGTCCTTTATTTATTTATTWATTTATATTGAGACAAGGTCTTGCTAAGTTGCTTAGGGACCTTGCTTAGTTGCTGAGGCTGGCTTTGAACTTGTAATCCTCTGCCTCAGCCTCCTGAGCTGCCAGGATTACAGGCATGCAACACCACACCTGGCCATATATGCTTTTTTTCCCTCCCTTGAGGTAGCTCATTATGAATGTCACATCCCTCCAGTCACCTCTGGAATTGGAGCTTGTCTGATAGATTAGCTGAGTGGGGTTGAGTAAAACATCTCGGTCCTTTCTGTGGTCATGGTACTAACAAGATTCATACGTGGGCAATGGGCGGTCACACCTCGTGCAGCTGTCATCTCTGGTCTGATCTTAGAACCAAGGACTCTGGCCAGGTGCAGTCTGTCAGCCAGGTCCTGGGCTTGTTTTCTTTTTTTCTTGATTTTTGTTTAAGGTAATGGATTCGTTTCTTAAACAGATACAACAATGTAATGTAAATTTCCCTTTAATTTGTTCTAAGCACTAATGAATTGTGTGCACTCATTTCCTTTCCTTTCTGTCTTCCTGGAATTGTGAGCTGGGTGTTAAATGACTTAGAAGAGGTAAGAGCTGGAGTCCTGGTTAATGTAAAATTAGATGCATCCTCAGAGTGCCCCCAGGACTTGGTCATCACTGCTGATCAGTGGACAGTGACTGTCATCATTTAGTCCATTTCTCTGCTGTGGCATGCTAGCAAAAGAGCATGAGCAGTTTGTAGAGTGTAAACAGGAATACGTTCACTGAAACTTGTTCATGTCTTCCCTCTGAAGGTGCGCTTACGGAGTGCTATGATGAACTGGGGAGCAGATACCAGCTTCCCGTGTATTGCTTGGCACCGCCAATCAACATGATAGAGGAAAAGAGYGACACAGAGACTCTGGACATTCCTGAGCCACCACCCAACTCTGGCTATGAGTCCCAGCTCCGACTGCGCCTCTCCACAGGCAAAGACCTCAAGCTTGTGGTGCGCAGCACAGACACGGTGTTCCACATGAAGAGACGCTTGCACGCAGCCGAAGGAGTGGAGCCGGGAAGCCAGCGGTGGTTCTTCTCAGGCAGACCTCTCACCGACAAAATGAAGCTGGAGGAGCTGAAGATCCCCAAGGACTACGTCGTGCAGGTGATCGTGAGCCAGCCCATGCACAACCCCACGCCAGTCGAGAACTGAGCCGAGCCGGCTCCCCTCTCCTGTTTGTTATTGTTGTCATTTTCAACTCTGTGGCGTGAAACCTATTTTCACTGCTCTGAATTCCCTATGAATGAATTTAGTTCTGAGGAATTACCAGTGAAAAATTCCATCTGTGAWGGRGACCAACAAAAATAATAAAACACAAAGAGCCAGCCTTTGAGACTCATGTAACTACAATTTCTAATTTGAGAGGCAGTTAAGAAAKAGATAASCATTTATTTTAAAACACTCAACTACTTAATGGCTGAATTTAAATGATTTAGACTGTAAGTGGAACATTGTAACCWTGAAGAACAGCACCAAGCACCTTTGAATACAGAATTTTTAAAACATCTATCAGATTATATAATTTCCAGATGTCACCAATAACGGTTATAATTTTTTGATAGAATCYGAGAAGAGCAGTATTTGAGATTCATTTCTGTTCTGGTTTTTTGTTAGCTCATTTCATATTTAGCCATAAAGGAGTAAGACTGGCAAATTGTGTTTCAGYGTTGCTTTTCCCATCCCCACATGTTGAGCCCCTTATTGACAGTCACACAAAGTTTGGGTGGCCTTGAGCATGTTTGGTGGCCGGGACCCTTTGAACACCAGGCAGTAACTAGTCCRTGCAGTCCTGTTTCTGATTTCCACCTGATCCTTGGGTGCTGCRTAGGTGTTTTKGAATCCTGCAYAGACAGCTGTTTTCATGTCTRGCTTAGAAGGTYACTACGTCATRTACCTTCTGTACTCCCTGCTCTGTTTGCACTTGCATTGCCTACCCTGCCCCAGGCCCACAGTCCCTGGGCGGGAGGCAGGAGTCCATTACTCTTCCCACCACAAGGCAGTGCAGTGAGGCTCTCCGGGCTCTGCAGGGGCGCAGGGAAAGCCCAGTCCTCCTGTGCCTGGGAGAACTTGCAGAGAAACTTTCAACTGAGAATCCAGAGTGAAAGGTTTGCTGGTGTTGCTTTCACATTAGCAGTGACGTGGCAGTGCTTCAGACCTCAGTGCTCCCCAGTTCACTGTTACCCTCAGCCAAGCGGATAACAGTTCTTTCATCTTTTCTTGCAAAGAGGCAAGTTAAGAACCATCTGCAGAGTCATGTTTGGTGGCCAGGAACTGAGAAATCTGCGAAGGCCTGAGTCTTGGGTACTGTGGCTGAGTAAAGCTGCCCAGGGCTGCGTTTAATTTGGAGCCCCTTAAGAGCTGGCTCTGAGAGAGAAGGGGACTCCCTCCCTTACCAGGCTGTGTCCTGGGGCCTCCATGAGGAGGAAGGGGAGCAAGGAGCATGGGTGCCGTGCTGGGGGGTGGCACACCTCCATAGCTACCTGGGTGTGAGCACCTTGTTAGTTAAAGTGACAAAATGACACTGCTAATTAGTCTAAATGCATTGTTTAAAAATGGTATTAAATCTCCTATAGCCTGATTAAGTATATCTATAACTGTAATTTTATCATGTTTCTGAGAGCTTTAACTACTTCCCTAATGTTATTCGATCACTTTAA